GTCTAGCAAGTAAATGGGTTTCCTCGCATAATTTGAATATGAGGACCCTGCTAACGTTTAAATTTCACAGATAGGACATACATGACATATTCATAATTCATGCAAAGTTCTACAGCATTTGAGGTTGGCTGCAAAAGGGACATAGTACCTTTAATGGTTATAAATGTTATAAATAATACAATTTTAAATGGAGTTAGGTCTACATTTAAAAAAAAAATGGGATTGCATAGTCCATGAAGGTATGATAACAACTCAGGGCAGAAAAAAAAGACTAAATAACATATTACCTTCCAATTTGATTGCTTGTTACAGCTTACAATTTGGCTTTAACAAAGTAGCCCCTTTTTTCAAAAGTAGCCCCTTGTTTTTTTTAGGCAATGGGGGAAAAGTAGCCCCCATAAAAAAAAAATCCTAGCCATCAGTGATAATACTTTCTTAGGATATGAAAAACGAACAGTTGAACAAAACACTCCCTTTGACAAGTTTTTAGTGTAAATCATATATAGTATAAGCCACATGTTTAACACAAAGTGAATAAATCATGGGTATCTGAATGCCTGCAATACTCTACATGACATATGTAAGTTACAATTGTATGTATATTTGCCTGTGCTTGGAATTTAAGTACGTAAAACCGCGTTTTAAAAAATACAACCTTTAAAAAAAAAAGGCCCCCCTTAGCTCCAAAATAGCCACCGCAAAATAATTAAGGGGGGCTATTTTTTTAAGGGAAAATTTGAAAAGAGCCCTCGTAAAAAAAAGAAGTAATTTTTTGGTTGCTCTGGGGAGTTGTTGTTTGCAACTGCGTCCCTTCGGGCGGCTTCGGCTGCCATTGTTCCCCAGTAATCTCCTTCTTGTTCTGGACATGCCTCCCGGTCCATTTGTGTGCTGGTCTAGCAAATAATAGGTAGAAACATAGATTTATATAGTAAATAATAAAATCAGTTCTGATTTTTCTGATTTATGACATTTCTAGTGCCCTTTTAGGACCTCAATTTGCTATGAAGGTAATTTTAGACCCCAAAATGTGTGAAATTTAGCCAATATGATCATACCAATTCAGCTCTACTTTAAAAAAATAAATCCAGTGACCGTTAATTAATTAATTAATTAATAATAACAATAACAATACATGGGCCGGCTGGTTGTGCGTATTATAACCAACACGAAAAACCCAACAAAAAGCCAACATCGGCATTTGCTGGAATAAAATGTATGAGGCGCTATTTCATTTTTTCAATGGTTTTTTCAAATCATCTAATATTTGTGGTGGTACACAAATATTAGAAATGGTTATATTTATGGATATTTCAGCTGTCTTTGAACCGATTTTGATCAAACTGAGATGATTTTGTCATTTAAATTGTATGTTCTTTCAAATTTGTCACTCAGTTTTTCATTATCTCACAAAAAATTATCTTGTGTAGCGCCCTCTGCAACAGAACTCAAATATCCCTTTAACACCAGCCACAAAGGTCGGTTCAGCAGAGGACAACTTTGCAAAATCGATAACACTAGCTACTGGAAGATATTCAGAGGTCAAAACCTTAACACCAACTGATGTCCATTTCGGTGTTTAGGGTCGGTGTGAGTGTTTAATAAACATTGACACCAGCCCTAAACACCTAACTTGAAAACACTCAATGAATACGATGTGGCTGATCGGCATGTTTGACAGTAGAATCAAGATTGGAATTTTCAAAGTTTCTCTCTTAAAGCTAAACTTTAGTACTGGTAATGCGATTGCATTGTGAAAGAAAAGGTGTGGAAAGGATCAGAAACAGTTGATCATGTAGCATGTAAGTATTGGTGTGCACTGCAAGGTTCTGGAGTCATCAAAATCATAATAAATTTGACCGAGTCTTGGTAAAGTAACAAGCACTCACATAGAAAGCTATATATGGGACAACACACATGGTGTCGGGGCTAGTACTACCTTGATTTCCTTGTCTTTCTATGCTCATTACTCAGCCAGTATACATTTTCTTCCAAAATTGTTTGGCACATGTCATTTATTTGTAATCTTGAACATTCAGTGTAAGTTTCGTTTGATTCTGTGAGAATTACTATTTTTTTTTTTTACCAGTACTGGAGCTTAGCTTTAAGCTGATTTTTTTATATTTTACCGCTATTTAGGTGTCATCAATTGTCACTAAAGTACCGATTTTTAGTGAAATCAGTTGAGTTTTGTACAGTGGTGTTTGAAATGTTGAGAATTAACAGAACAGTTTTTAATACATAGCCAGAATAGTAATACAGCAGCAATTGCAGCCACAGCGTAAAAACAGCTCATCGATTATGCACTTTCTATATATGGTATGCATGCACAGCCGTTGACGCAAACAGCGCATGCGCACACATCCATTATAGTTGTAGTGTCCAGTCTTTTCATGAATCTTTCCCTAGTTTTGAAAGCAGTTTTACACAAAACTACTAACTTCCCCATTGAGAAACTAGGCAGAGAGTGAGACTGGAGTTTAAAGTCTAGTAAAATATTAATCGTTTGCATATTCATATTGACCCGGACCTGTCACTGGAAAATAACGAAGCCTCTTTTCACCGACCTATGAAAACAGAAAAATACCCATATCTTTAAAAATACATATCAGTTTTGAATGCAAATATATGTGAAGAATAATACAATCATTTTGTATGTGCTGTGAAACTTTTATGAGCTTTGAAGCTAAAATTAAGGAGATAAGCAAATGTGACTGAATTCTGGACGAATTTTGCTCCTCTCTTCGAACAGGGCCTCGATAGCTGTTATGAATTCAAAAGCTTTTACGACTTTTCAGGGTTTTAATTGCACCCTAGCCCTGTGCCTGTACTATCTAGCATTGAAGTCACTACCTTAGCACCATTTTTTCTCGTCTGAACAATGTTACCAAGTAACTATTTAAATTGAAGGAGAAAATACATTTAGCCTGGAATCCAGGCCAGCTAGACAGCACTTTCTCTGCTGATGTAGTTGGGGTGAGAGGTCAGGTACAAGGTCAGAGACAAGAGCTGCTTGCCATAACCATGACCCTGGAAAGGTGACATAAGGTCATACATTCCCAGATTGTTGGAGTAACCTGAGTCTCCTGTAGACAGTGAATAGAGCTGGTGGAGTGATTTACAAGAATCAAATAAACACAGTGAGTGAAATTCCACAAAGGTTATCTCCAGTCAAAATCATTCCATACAGGGGTTTAAACTGTGAAGCCTTTGAAGTCTCTTTTGACAACGGAGTCTGCTAGAGATATGGTCTTTATCATCCAAGTGTAACAAAATGTCATTTTATATTCATCAATATGATGTATTCATGATTCATGAAAGAAGCACAACATAGGATGTAAATGTGAGCTTTAAACCTTATATGTCAGCAATGACAAAGAAGCAAAAGAGGCAAAAGGTGCCATGGCTGGAAGGAGGAGGGGGTGACATCTCTGTGTAGGCTGAGATAGGTATAAGAAATGCTATTAGAGAGAATGACCATACAAAGACAAAAAATAATATGAGGGAGACAGCTTTAGTTGTGCGCTACACATACACTGTAGGTACTTCTGGTTTTAACAATGACGGCTCGCTTGGCTTAAAGTTATAAGTAACTTTTGAGCAGTCCTTATTTTTGGCAAGGGTTAAGGGTGGAGTTATGGTTCGATTTGATTTTCACACTCATTAGGGACTGGGTATATGGGCACTGACCCCATCCTCGTTCTATCTCTGTTTTACTTGCCGTCTGCCTGTCTGCATATAAGTCTGTGTGCCTGACACTGCCTGTCCATGTACTTGTCTATCTTTCCGTATCTTTCCCTTTGTCTTTTACGTACGACCATTTGGTACAAGGGTCTGAAAATCAGACTATTACTTAGGTGATTGTAATCACTTAAGTTGATTTGACAGGGAATGATCGATATTTTCCCACAAAAAGCCATTTTGAAACCCTTTCGTTTTAAGGGCAGTTCTAAATAAGTATTGTCTTTCAGATGGGACATTGTACCTTTAAAATTAATATATATAAGGATTACCCTTAAATGACTCAGATTTGATAAGTACTGCTAACTAATACAAGATCTTTGTTGAGAGGAGAGTTTGAAAATTGAAAAAAGGGTTAGGTTTGTCATTTTCATTATCCTCGTTTTACAAACCATTATTATAATTATTGACCACCTTCACTGACAGGATGCCAATATACTGATTACTTTGTACTGCCCAGATTAATGTCCTACAGGTTAAATCAATAACTCCAACTAAGCTGTGAAAACAAATTCTTATACATAGCCCCACCAAATCTCTTTGGCCCCACTAACGATGAATTCAAAAGCGAGGTGGGGAAAAGCGGACACTAGAGAGTGGGGCCTTGATGATGGTAATGCTGATCCAGATGTTAGGATTTGACCCCTCCCTAAACCATTTTGCCTACCTGCCCCTCAAGGCAGACTTTTGTTGGTTCACAGCTTCATGTTACAAGTTCATAATGATGCTTGCTCTAGCTCAAGAGCGTTTCGCCTACTCCAGAAGACTGGTCATGGTGATGTAGAAAGAGAGAGAGAATTCGAAGGAGTCTGGCATGAAGGTTGAGGGAGGGGGGGGGGGGGGTGCTGATAGGGTTTGAATAAGAGGCAAGAGAGGGGAAGGGAATACAGAAAAAAAATGAGCCAGCGAAAGAGGTAGGCCTGTGGGAAACTGTGGGACGAGTGGTAGCGAGCTGAATATGGAAGACAATCTGAGCTTTAGGAAAGAAGAGAGAGAGAGAGAGAGAGAGAGACACACACACACACACACACACACACTCCGAGACAGATGGATTGGATATGGAGAGAGAAATGAGATAGATGAAGGAATTTACAAATGCATACCGAGAAGGGGACAAAGAGTAATGGAGAGATGAAAATAGAGAGAATGCGGAGACAGAAAGAGAGAGAGAGAGATATAGAGAGAGAAGGGCAGAGTCAGAGAGATTAAGAGAGAGAGAGAGAGAGAGAGAGAGCGAAGGAGGGGGATGATGTACAGAGGGGTGGGAGAGAGAGAGAGAGAGAGAGAGAGAGGAAGAGACAGGTACATGGAGTTGGGAATAGAGGGAGAAAATGGGCGAGTGTTTGAGCAAGAGTGGTATTCAGTGCATTGCCTGAATTCAATCTGGTCAGGGTCATTTACTCAGCTTGCCTTGTTACAGATCCCTCATTCACTGCTGTGTCTGCCTGGAGAGAAGACAGTTAGCCTGAACACTTTCACCTCAGACAGCGCTTCCCTATTTCGTTAGTGCCCAGCGTATCCTCATACCAAAGTACTAGTACACTTTCTGCCCCTCATAAGACACAGAGAGGAGGAATGCTGACCGGCTTGTGTGTGTTTGGTCGTGTTTGAGGACATTTTGTGTGGTGCATCCTTTCGTTGTGTATGGTATCAGTGAAGCTTCACTCTCCCTCATTGTGCATAGTCGCGCATTTACAAGTTGGCTGCTGGTACTACCGCTGTGTACTGGGGCAATAACACCAGGACGCTTCATCTGAATTGTGAGTACTTTCTTGATACTGTGTGGTGTTACGCAGTAGGCCTACTCTGTAATATTCAATTACCTTTGGAGATGGTTTTGAAGCAGGAATCAAGAAGCATGATGATTAAATCAAGCTCTTTCATACTAACCGTGTATTATTATTAAATTTTAAATATGACAAGCATTACAGAAATATTCAACTTAAGAATATTTTGCCAAAAAGTAAACAATTTTTTTGTTCCTTTATGTTCTGATGAATCCTTCTCATTTGCGTGAAGTACCAACAATATTTTTTAACGGTGGAGATACTGAATAGTGGGTAAAGATTTCAGGGTTACACCATGAAATTCTTTCAAAGGAATAGCTATTGACAGTGTTTTTCAACCCTTTTTTCAGTCTCGTCACCCATTTGGGAAGTAGCAAGTTTCGCGTCCCCCCAATTTGTACGTAAATTGTACATAATTCAGCCATTTGGTTGCGAAGTGCATTCATAATAAAATCTTTTAAATCAATCAAATCCCAATTCATCTCAGAATATTTCTTGTGCATCACTCTAAAACTTTTCAAGTGCCATTTACACACCTACAGGCATATTATTTTCTGATTCTTACGAGCGAATAAGGAAAAAATGATATCTGTAATATTTATGAAAATAATTTGTAATCAACATACTAATGAATAATGTTTGTGGCGCCCGCCGCCAAATATACATATTTTGAGGATATTTGGGCATAGCATTGTCACTCCCATCAAGAAAATGCCATTCTATTAAGAAGTGTGTGTGTGTGTGTGTGCATGTGTGTATGTGTGTTTGTCTCTCTCTGTCTCTCATAGAAACATCAAGATATTTAGGGCGCGTTCATGCTTGATTTTGAAGGTAGAATGAGCGATCTGAAACGCTCATCGTAAACGCTCATCGTGATCGCAGTTCCACGGTGTACTTTTCATGCTTACTTCTCTGGCTCATCCAGGCAATTCTCCTTGTGTGGCCTTAATTGGTCTTCCAGCTGGATTCGCAAACCTTCACTGTGCATGCTACGTAGACCCACTAGAGGTCAGTGCGTTGACCCCATTTAAACGCGTTTACAAATTGTAAACGCATCTTTTTGTGAGTTTACGATCGGCGATCGTGATCGCCGTTTTTCGGTGATTCTACAAAAGTAAGCATGGACGCAACCGTGTTTTAAACTAAACGTGTAACAGATGCCTGATTCTGGCCAGAAAAAGTGAAGCATGAACACGCCCTAAAATAAATGACCTTGAATATATGAATATTTGCCCTTGACATGCTTTATAACAATGAAAATATGATTATATGGATACGTACAAAAATGATGCTACTTTCATTTCTTTATACAAATTTTAGTGTACAAATGAAGCACATGGTTGCGACTTGGTCCCCTTCAATTGAATTTTGGGGGAGGTATAATTTAATCCAATCGATTATTGAGGTTAATAATCTATTATCTCCTCAATTTGAAAACATTGTAAACAATTGCAAGCTGCTAATCATTTACTTTCACTGAAGATATTACAATTTTTTGTTTGCAATCAAGTTTTTGAATGAAGACATTTGATTGATAATATAACGGCATCCTACAAAATTAAAATTTAATGCTTATTATCCACAACTCTTTTTACGATAGAATTTTTACATAGTGTTTTGTTTGTTAGACAAGGTAGATTCAATCATATATATTTGCTTTGAAAAATAATTAAAATTTGCTCCCATAATAATTTGGAAAGATTTATTGGAGCTACAGAAGTGGAAGAGAAAAAAATGAGCGAAGGTAGCTGAGCTTGGGTCACACACACAGCTCAGGAGCCAAAAAATAAATAAATGAATACACGCAATTCACATTTTCAGAATATTTAGATAACAAATGTTGTATTTAGAAACTCATGCTTAGTTAAACAACAAATATTTGATGAAAAATTTGCCCAAGTCAATTGAGATCGTTTATAAACAGTCCTCAATATGTCCATCTGGACGGGGTACAGACGAGATGGACGTATTGAGGACAGTTTGTGAACGAACTAGGATCATATTATAGACATTATTTACACATTCTAACCCGACCACAACTTGTTTTACGATTTTCTAGGACTGTTCCAGAACGTAGTGAGAACTAGTTTAGTGTGATGGGGGCTTAATTTGTAGTTGTACCACCTTCACCAAACTAATCAATGAGCTGAGCTTAGCGAGGGATACAAGACCACACACAATGTCAGTCATGAATGAAAATGAGATCACTATAATGTCTAAAAAGTGAGTGACATGAATGACACAATATCGTACTCAAATCTTCATGAAATATACCCACATTGCCTCCTTTTTAGGTAACGTATTCATGTGGAAAACTACGTCCAAACTTTTTGTTTTGTCTCTTTACCGTGACCCATTTGTACTTGAAAGGGGCACACATAGGGCGATGCTTGTTCATGCATTGACCATCTTTTCGGCAAATTTTGACCAATCATAACGATGCAAGCCTGTACAGAAAAAGATGAGGAAGAAACGGGTGAAATCATTCTCCGTAGAGGTTACACATGAGCCCGTAGAGTTTGTACCGGAGCAAGTTTCATAGGAAAGAATTTTCACTGGACTGAAAGGCCCAAAGACATACTTACTATGTGAACTCCAAATAGTTTTGGCCTTACCCAATATTAATACATGCTTTAAATTCTTTCACATGAAACCAAAAGCAAAATGATTGCTCACTACCAATATTTTTCCTTTAACCAGAACTAGCCCTTCTCTTTGATACATTGCTTGATTGTTATACTATTATTCCAGTCATCAGTCTGCACTTGATGGGGAACATTCCATTAGAACCAATCATAAGGATGTTAGCCCAAAATAATTTCGGGATTTAGTTAAAAAACATATAAACATGCTTTAAAATTGTGCAATTTATGAATATTGGAAGAATTGAATTGAATTGAATTGAATTTCTTTATTGTCATGCACAAAATAAAATGAAGGCATAAAAATCGTCTTACGGCTCACATTTGTTTAAAATATTAACAATACATTAACATATCATAGACAAATACCTTTAAATAACATAAATAACATAACAATGTAGTATAATTTAACGTCTCTGTTGAGAGCCAGGGGAATTATTTGATTACCGTAAATCTCTGTGTATAAGGCGCACCCCTACTTAGAAGAAGAAGAAGAAGAAAAAAATCTGGGAAAAAAAATAAATTCTGTCATCTTTAATTTTAAAATTTTCTGAAGACAAAATAAATATTTATCTCTTATTTTAAACACTGCATGCTTTTTTAAAAGCGGAAAATTACTTGGTAATCACAACACGTTACGATACTGATAGCTGTTGCAAGGCAAGTTCAGACTAGTCACAGAAAAAATGCGCAGTGCACCTCGTTAGCTGTAATACGTGCCCAAACGAACCCAAACAAATCTACGTGATCGTAACAAGAAATCATTCCTGTGCCCGTAGTTTTTAATGATTTTTTTCTTGTTACGATCACGTTTATTTGTTTGGCTTCGTTTTGGCACCATTACAGCTAATGAAGTGCACTGCGCATTCTTTCTGACTAGTCTGAACTTGCCTTGCAACAGCTATCAGTATAGAAACTTGTTGTGATTACCAAGTAATTTTCAGCTTTTAAAAGAAGCATGTGGTGTTCAAAATAAGAGAAAACTTTTTATTTTGTCTTTTAAAAATTAAACAATCGGTATGTTGTTGTAAAGAAGAATTTTTTAGAAAGCTGTTTAACTGATTTATTAATCCTGTCGAGAGACCCGGCCAGTACAGTAGCTAGCTAGCTGTGCTGGCAACAACAACCCCATGCGGCGAAGTGCTTTGCAACCCATATTTATAACGGCAGTTTCGATTGATTCAGGATGAGCTAGAATATGATGGGTAAAATTTAAATACTGAAGTTTTAAGGTGGATTAATTTTAGTGGTGTGCAAAACTGCAATTTCTTACATATTTCATACTCAAAATATCCTGTACCTGTGTATAAGGTGCACCCCCGACTTTTTTTTTTTTTTTTATATTTCATGTTATCATGTATAATGCTGTATTTTAACCATTATGATGTATTTTACCTTGTAAATGACCGTCCAATTCAGCTTCGGCTGTAAGAAAGTCAATTTGAATAAACCCTTATTGAATTGAATTATGTCATCTGAGATGCTGAAAATCCCCCCTAACAATGACTTGTGTTTCTAAAGTACAGACCCCCCCCCCCAAAAAAAAAAAGGGCGTAGTGACATGACTTCTGTGCAGGGGATGGAACCCATGGCCTTTGCTTCTCCAGACAAATGTTTAATGTGGGAAACTTAGTTAGATTGGAGTTTACCAGTACTTACCAGCCAGTAGAAACACTAATATCAAACATAACTGGAAACGAAATAGTGCTGTTCACATCAGTACACTGTATTACTATTACTTAAATCTGGGATTTAAGCCTAAAAAATGTTAGTTCAGTATGTCGTGCAATATGATTGATAAATATGTGGAGTGATGCATGTTATCATGTAATATACAGTACCTTCTCTCATATTTCATTTTACGATACTTTGCTTATCACTGGATTCCTGACTATAACGGTTTTAAAGCATCTCTAATTTTAATTCATTGAGGCAGAAAGTCCTCACACGCACACACTGACACACTGAGTGTATAGTGACGTCATCATTTCATGTGTAGTTAGAGAGGATGCACATCCTACTCTTTCCAATGACCCAAGCATGTGATCCTTGTCTTTATCTGTCACACACATTATGAATTTGTCCGTGTCCATGCTTGCTCCACAAGCTGGCAAAAATGTGAAAAATACATCTATCACGTTTACTATTGGGAGTAAGAATCGGGAGCATTCAATTTTACAAGGGATCAATTTGCATGATGGGATTGTCAAAGTATGCTGTACGTATGGTCTTATTATTGAAAGGATATATATGCAGGTTGCTCACAGAGGCTATATTTTTCTTTTTGATTCCTCAGTTTGTTTTCATTTAATGATGTAATAGGTGCAATGG